AGCGAATCGGGCCCATGCGGTTTGGGACCAGTACCACTACCTTCTTGCTGCTACAAACATCACTTCCCTTCAGCCTATTTCCTGACTTGAAAAATGAGGGCGAACACCTACTGCACAGTAGGTGCTCTGCAAAGGAGGGCTCCTTCCCTTGCCACCACCCAGTTCTTCAGCCTGCAGGGAGGCTGGGGTGAGGGATCGTGAGAACGGAAGTTATCCAGTGTCTGTGTCCAGCCCCTTCTGTCCTCTCCTTCCCTCCCTCGGACACAGGCACAAGCTGGGGGGAGGGGGTGAGAGCTACATTTGAGTGTGTGTTGTTGGGGTGGGATGGGGTGTCCCGCCGCTAGAGCGGAAGATGAGTCACTGGGCTATGGGCCAGGCACCCTGGGAAAAGCCAGGCCAGCCTCAGGCCAGAGCCCCAGGGAGCTAAGAGGCAGGGAGGAGGGAGGCAGGGCCTGTCTGAGCTGTAGCTGTAGTCCTGGGGTCTCAAACCCCCTCCCCCCCAACCCAGCCACAAGAGGCCATTTTCCCCACTTTCCAGGTGTGAGAAATTCTACTCAGACACCACCAAAGGCCCAGGGGAGATTGAAGTGTTATCAGCTCCTACTAACCTAGTAACCTGACCTCTGTCCTAAGCCTGGATACTGACATAACAAGGCAGAGGTGCTCCCTCCCCTTCGAGCTCAAAGACTTCAGCATCGTCTGGCTCACAGTAGGAGCTTTGGTACATACATATTTGCGAATTAGTGCATGGATGACAGCAAGTATCAGTGTAATGAATGCACAGAGCAAGGTTGGAATGTCCGTGTTCAATCCTCTCTTGAAGATTCCTTTCCATTTTACATATGGGCACCGAGGTCCAGAGAGGAGTCTCGTGACCCCCCAGGGCAGCAGGCAGAGACCTGAGGGTAGATCCAGGCCTTTGGGTCTCTTCCACTATAGTTTGTCCAAAGGGGACCAGCCAGCTGAGAGGCAGTGTGGCCCCCATCTTCTCTGCCCCTCCCCTATCCTACGACCCGGGGACATTCCCAGAGGGGAGCAAGTTCCATCCATCAGTCAGCCACTCTGGCCCTGCAGTGAGCCTTGGTGACCCTGGCCCAACCCAGAGCCCAGGGAAGCCCCCCTCCTATCATACGAGGCAAGTCTAGGATGGTGGAGATGACCAGCGACAGTGACCATGCCTTGCCCAGATCCCTCCACCCAGCCTCCAGGGTGTCACTGGGCCTGGACCATGCTGGCAGAAGTGGTCTCTGCCCTGGGCCGATCGGAGGCAGCCTCAGCTCCTAAGCCTTGTTGCTCTCTATCAGCAACTACTGTCCAGCCTGAGTGCCAGGCAGCAAGTCATATGTGCGTGTGTGTGTTGCACAAGATTCACAGCTGAAGGTCAGCTTGAGCAGGTCTAGACTCGACTCTCCCGAGGCCCCAGAGTGGGAGCCACGTCTTCCAGGAAGCTGTCCTGTTAACTCAGATCTGCCAACTCCCCTCCTCCTCTGAGCACCTTGGGCTTCTGGAGTTGCAGTCTTGAAGCCTCAGTCTCTCTAGGCTTACGGTTGCAATGTAGCCAGTAAATGGCACCACCCAGCACTTCACAATCTACTAAAGCAGTGGTTCTCAACCTTCCTAATGCCGCAACCCGTTAATACAGTTCCTCATGTTGTGGTGACCCCAACTATAAAATTATTTTTGTTGCTACTTCATAACTGTAATTTTGCTACTGTTATGAATCGTAATGTAAATATCTGATATGCAGGATGTATTTTCATTGTTACAAATTGAACATAATTAAAGCTTAGTGATTAATCACAAAAACAATATGTAATTATATATGTGTTTTCCAATGGTCTTAGGCGACCCCTGTGAAAGGGTCGTTCGACCACCAAAGGGGTCGCGACCCACAGGTTGAGAGCTGCTGTACTAAAGGCTTGAATGGCCTATCGAGTCAGATCCTCACAGCAACTCAGTGAGGAAACCAAGGCTCAGTGAAAAGCTGTAACTTGCCCAGGTTCTCAGGACTGAAGAGGTGGTGGGGCTCAAAACCCCCTCTGCCACTGACCGGCTGTGGGAACCTGGGTAAAAGCGCGAACCTGTACCTGAGTACAAGGAAGAGAGCAAATGACATACCAAATAGGCGTGAATCTTTCTTGAGGGGCTCCCAGGTGCTGCTTACAGGTATTTATTTGAACCTCGAGTGAAGCCTCCTGCTTTACACAAGAGGATGGTGGGTGCAGGGTAGAGCCTGCTCCAAGTCTCACAGCAGACTCCTCCAGTGGCCGAGGAGGCAGAATGTCCACATCTATTCCACAGTGAAGGAGAAGGAGGGCCTTCCAGCCCAAGGGAGTAACCCAGATAGCAGCCCAGACTCCCAGCCCCAGGAGGCCCAAGGAGGACGCCCACAGCACCTGCCTTCGTCACAACACTGAGGGAGCTAAAATGCCAAGGAGAAATGTTCCGTGTAATAATAAATGAAATAAGCATGAAACATACATGCTGTATCATCTCAGCATTATGAAATATACACCCATATGTACTTGCAAGGAGAAAAGGCTGGAGGCAAAACGCCATACACCAGAATTTAACAGTGGGCTGGGCCCCTGGGAAAAGGAGGGCAAAGCCAGAGACCACCCTGTACTGATGGCTGTTCCGCCCTCCAGGAAGCCCACATCTGTGCCTCAGTTTCCTCATCTTTATAATAGAAAATAGGATTTACTGAGCACAGTGCCTGGAACGAAGAGTTCTCAATAAATACTGGCTGTTATGAAAAACCACAGAACCTTAGAAGGCAAGTCATATCAGAGGTTGACTGGGCCAGCCCCGGACCCGGGCTGGCCTCCCCCAGCAGCCCTTGCTTGCTACCCCCAGACCAAGGATCTCACCCTCTCCAATGGTGCCATGGTAGCTCCTTCCACCATGGGCAGGTCTGCTTGGGAGAAAGCCCAAGCTGGGCTGGGCCCCATAGTCCCTGGATGGCCTTAGAAATGGATGGTGGAGATCTTAGGATCTCCCAGCTCCCATTCTAAATCCTCTGGTTTTAGACTCTTCTATGGGGTGGTTCTCCAGTGAGAGGTTGGGAGAGGCTTTCTGGGGGAGGTCCCTTGTCCCAACCCAGGTGACCACCTCTGACCCTCCACTGTCCGTGGGATAACAGAGTAGCATTTGCTGGCAGCACTTTGTGCCTTTTCCATTTTCTCCTTTGGAAAACACACGAGAAATCAGTTGGGTCTGACCTCCTCCCTATTCCACCTCCAACCCCTCCAGTCCCCCAGGGGCAGGAGGCCCTCTCTGCCTCCTCCCTGGACAACAGCCTGGTGGAAAGCCCTGAGAGGAGGGGCCCTGGGAGCTGGTTGTTGCCATGGCGATGGCAGCCCTGGAATTTGACCACTGGGGCCCAGGAGTGGGGGCGGGGAGTTGATACAAGCCATGCTGGGGGCAGGGAGGAAGGTCCAGAGGCCCAGGAAAGTTAAGAAGAGCAAAGGGCAGGGGGCAGGGTCCCTTCTATGGCCTCAGTTTCCCCATCTGTAAAGAGGAAAGAGGCATGGACCTCAAGATCTCTTTCCAGCTCTAGTCCAAATTGGAACCTGGGTGAGGCTGGGGGTGGGGGAAGTAGCGAAAGCAAGGCCAGTTGCCCCTTCGGATGGAGACCCCAGAGGACAGGGACTTGCCTCAGGTGGCACAGCAAGTCCATGGTAGCAACAGGACTAGACTGTCGGGGGCGTGGTCTGTCCACTCTGGCTTCCCTATTTCTCTACTGAGAAGACAAGGACGCCTGCTTCATGGCAGGGGGAGAGGACCTTCGAGAATGGCTATGGCTGGGCCGGGCCCACACTTCTGAGACAATGGACAATGTGCCTGCTCCCCCAGCAATCCCCAGCATTCCTGGATCGGAGGGCTGGCAGAGGCCCTGCCCCCTCCCTTGACTGCAGTGCCAGGCTTCGGTGGGTATTTTCAAATGGCTGCCCTGCCTACCCCTCTCTGCCTTCCCGCCTGCCCACTTCAGGAACACAGTGAATTCTGCTGCCACCTCCCTCCCCATTCCACTTTGACCAAGCCTGAGTGCCACCTGGGGCAAGACTCTCTGTCCTCTGGGGTCCCCATCCGTCAAAGGGGCAACTGCTTTGGTTACTCCCCCCCCCCCCCAGCCCTCACCCAGGCTAGGTCTGTGGCCATCCTCTGTGCCCCATCGTCTTGCTGGCTGCCTCCTCCCACACAGTCAGCCCAGGGTCAGGGCGATCTCCAGGGCCCCTTCTAGGCCCAGAGAGGGGATAGGACTTGCACTGATGAGGATTTGGGAATGCTATGCCACCAGTCTGTGCCCCACCTCCAACCATCCATCATGTTACCCCAAGCCCTTCCCGTCACCCCACTGCCACTGCCCCTCAGCCGCCACAGCCTGGCTCCTCCAGCTGGCCCTCACACCCACCCCAGGAAGATACTCCCATTCTGACCAAGTCACTCCTCAGCTTAAAATGCCAGCCAACTGGGGAAAAAATGGAGTTGGAACCATAACTCACGCTCCGCACCAGGATAAATTCCAAATGGATCAAAGATTTAAATGGAAAACAAAACAAGAAAGCATAAGACACCAGAGAAAAACATGAGGAAGTTGCTTTATAACCTTGGAGTGGGAGAGGCCTTTCTCACCACGACTCCAAATCCAGAAGCCATAAAATGAAAGCCTTGATAAATTAGACCACATAAAAATGAAACCCTCTGCATGGCAAAAAAACACTGTAAACAAAGTCAAAAGTCAAGTGACAAGTCAGGAAAAAAATATCTGCAACTCATAACCCAGGCGAAGGACTAACCTCCCTAACATGTATTTAAAGGTTCCTAGAAATTGATAAAACAAAAAGGCCAACAGCCCAATAGGAACACAGGCAAAGGACATGAACTGTGCACAGAAAAGGGAAACCAAATGTCTCGTGGGCATGTGGGCAGATGACCAGTCTCACTCACTGTGAGATAAACACCAACCAAAACACACCAAGGTGCCATCTTCCACTTACAAGATGGGGAAGTACCCCAAGGTCTGACTTGGTGAGGCTGTGGGGACCACGTGTCTTGGCGGACTCCTGTGGATAGCATCAAATTAGAATCACATATACCTGCTGTCCCAGCAATTCCACTCCTAAGGTGCCCTCCAAATACACCAGCCTCCACGCAAATGACCTGTGAACGAGTGTGTTCACTGCAGCACTGTTTGTAACAGCCCAAGATGGAAAATAACTGAAATAGCCTTTGTATCACACAGAACAAGAAGAATACGGAAGCTCTGAAAGTGCTGATAAAGCAGGATCTGCAAGCGATGCTCCGTGGAGAGCAGTGTGGACAGTGTGCTGCCGTCTGTGAGGAAAGTGGGGAAAAGACCCAGCATTTGCTGGTATCTGTGTATAGGAGTCATGAGAACTAATACCCAAGTGTTCTGGGGCAGGACTGGGTAGGTACTACGAGGCGGCTGACAGAAAGAGACTTTTTGATATTTTTAAACCATATGAATATTTATTTACATTTTAAAATACACAGATTGAATTGGTTAAAACTTCACCCCACACCCGACCAGTGTGGCTCAGGGGTTGAGCATCAACCTATGAACCAGGAGGTCACTGTTGGATTCCCGGTCAGGGCACATGCCCGGGTTGTGGGCTCATTCCCAAGTGTGGGGCATGCAGGAGGCAGCCGATCAACGATTCTCTCTCATCATTGGTATTGCTATCTCTCTCTCCCTCTCCCTCTCTGAAATCAATCAAAATATATTTCTAAAAATAAATAAATAAAACATCACCTCATAATCCGGCCCCTGCTGCCTGCTCATGGCTCAGCTTTGAACAGCCTTTGCAGCCCTCCTCCTCCTCCTCAGTCTTCAGAGGCTTCCTTCCCTTCAGCCTCAGGACCGGCCCTTCTGAAGGCTCCCTCCTGAGGGGGCACCCCGGGCTCCTCCAGCGCCTGGGCATCTCTGTCCCAGTCCTGATCACAGCCAGTGTCCTCATCTGTGTGTGTTGGGTACTGCCTAGCCTACGGAACAGGACCAGGTCCCAAGGGGGCTCCCAGTGAATGGAGACTGGATGAAGGGGGTGGGGCTGCTCTGGGACCCTGAGTTTGGAGGCTTGTTTCCTAACTGGCCTCCTCCGGGACAATTCCAATCTCGTCTGTGATGCCCCTACAGGACATTCTCTCTCTCCACACTGCAGTCAGAAAGGAGCTTGGCCTCCAGCCCTTCCTGCAGAGAAGTCAAATTCCTCTTTCACAGGCTACCCAAGCCCTCCTCAGTCCTGGCAATCCTCTCCCTTTATTGGCCATAGATACCGTCTATAAAGTGAGGTTGGAAACAGGCAACTTTACAGCAGGGTGGGATTTCTGCCACTGGGAATCCAGCAGAGCCCAAGCCCACAGAATACCACCCCACTTCTGCACAGCCCCCACTTCCTTTCCTACAGGCAACTGCCTGGGTGAAAACTCGGAGCCCCCCGCAGGAACTCAGCATAATGCCTCCCCCCAAAGATGACCCTAGGCTATTCTTGGTGATCCCCTCCACTTTTCTCTATCCCTGGGACCCCTCCTCAGCCAGGCCAGGCCATCACCCTCCCTCCCCCTGCAGCTTGCTTTATGATTTCCCACTGATCCCCCAGTGGTCAGTGGTCCAGTCCAGCCCATAGGCATTATCAGATTTAATTTTCACAAAACCCCTATAAATAGGAGCCATCATCATCATGCCCATTTACAAGCGCATACACTGAGCCACAGAGGGGTTAAGTATTTACTCGTGGTCACACAGCGAAGAGAAAGAGCTGAATCTGAACCTAAGCCATCTGACTCCAGTCTGTTCTAACCACTACACAACACATCTGGATGCAGGTCAAGTAGGAGCACTCAGGCTGACCCCTGACACCTGGATGACCTGGCCCTTGTTGACCCACCAGCATCAAATATCCCCACCCATATCGCACTCTGGCTATAGTAGCTCCTCAACCCCTCATACTACACACTGGGCCTCCACACGTGCTGGTCTCTCTGCTAGGTGCTCCCTCCCTGTCTTTATGCTTGGCATTTCCGACTATCCAATGTTTTTGGTGGCCAAAGAAGTGGGAGCCTAGGCTGTGGGGTAGGCCAGTTAGGCTGGTGCCTGAGGTGGGCAAAGCCTGGGTCCTGAAGGGCCTCGAAACTGCCAGGCTCAGAGCCCTGGCTTTCTTCTCCACCCGTTCGCATCTCCTTTCACTCACTCTAACCTCTGGGGAAGTCTCCCTTATTCTAACCTAAATTACCTCAACCTAGATGAGCCAGGGGGGTTCCTGGGCCTCTAAAGAATGTGCCTCCACCTCTCCCCGATCAATGACCAAGCTGGGCCACCTCCAATCTCTCTCAAAGGGCCTCCCAGGGTGGCACAGTCTGCAATTGGGGTCTTCTCATGGTGCCATGATCAGGTTGTCCTCCCGATCAAGTGGAGTTATAACCCAGCTCCATAGGCCCCTGGTGGGGGGCATTGCCGGTTCATAGGCACCCTGAGGTGTGGAGCCTGGCTAGGCTGAACTTCTGAGCCTGTAGAGAAGCTGAAGGAAGAGGCCTGCCCAGCCCTAAACCTCTCCAGCAGGACCCCTCTACCCCAAACAGGGATTCTTTGCCTGAGTCCTATGGGGCTCCATGGAAGTACATGGGGGGAGATGTGGTCAAAGGGGCAGACACACTCCTACCTTCACTTAAATCAACAAAATCCCAAGTTGACCTGTTTTATGGTTCTGTGTCAAGATTCTTCTAAAAGAAAGGGCTCCACTGTTCTTAAAAGCTTGGAAATTGCTGCTTGGGATCAAACCCAGACTTTCAGGGCTGGTCTTCCGGTCTCCCCAGGACCCACGGACTTCTCAGGAACCAGGGAGCTGCATGGTGCCCCAGCTGCACCTGGGCTTTTCCACACAGGCCTTGCCTTCCCGGTTCTCTCTGCCTGAAGGGCCAGGCCCCATTTCTGCCTGTCAAGGCCCTGCTGGTCCCTCAAGGCTCCAGCCACTCCCCCGTCCCTCATAAGCCTCCCTGGTCCTCCCTGTTCTCCTTCTTTCTGAGCCTCAGTTCTCAGATGGGGCTCCTGGGGCAGGAACTCCTTCCTATTAGTCCTATAGCCCACAAGCTAGCCCTGTATATATATAGGCACCAGTATATGGCAGTGGAATTGGAATTTCTTTTAAAATTACCCTGGGCTCTCCAAACCCATTATCCAGGCTGATACCAGAGTTAATTACTCAGGGCTGATTAGAAAAGCAAGGACCAACTGTGCAGTCAGCCCAGTTATTCCACCAGTGACAATGACTGCCGCAGTCCTCCGTCAAATCGCTGGGCTTTTCCCCTGGGAGTGAGGCCCTGCTCCAGGCAGAAAGTGGGCTGAGGCTCTCCCCATTCACCTGATCTGGCATCCACTGCCCAGCGTAGCCCCATGATGGGAACTCGGGGGTTTCAGTGCAGGGACGACTGCTCTGTTCACATCTGTCCAGATGGATAATGCCTATTTGCATTACTTGTTGACATCTGGCTGTCCCTAACTATTCCAACTTCGCTGTCATCAAAGAAGGTATGAGCAATTCTCAGACTGGGTCCTCACTTCCAATATCTGCACAGATGTCTTCATGGGTATAAGTGTGTCGGGATTGAAAAGGAGTGTATGTGTACACATGTCGATGTGTCATGTACCTTGGGCTTTGCCAATGCTGGGATGTGGGGGGGGGGTCTACAGTCAACTAAACCCTCAGTGTGGGAATTGCTGGTTTCAGGGCACACCCCCTCCATCCTGGCTCTGCCAGGGCTCCTCTCTGCATCTCCACCCTGAGCTCAGGGCCCAACACTGGGTGTTCCCCAGCACCCACGGCCCAGGCCTGGCCACGGGGAAGGTGGCCTGATAACTGAGGGGAGGGTGCCACAATGCTGCCTGCGGCCTCAGAGCTAAACCCCTAGGACAGGGCTCAGGGCCAGGGGCCCAGTGGGAGACAGGACAGGAGGCTGGGGGTGGGGGAGGCGGCCTGGGTTGGCTACGGGTCTGGGCCTCTCTGGGCTCTTTGTCCAAATATGGAAGGTTCTTTTGCCTCCATTTGAGTCATGCCGGCCATGGCCCAAGAGATCTGCTTTCCAGATACTGCAGGCAGGCGGGACTGTGCCAGCAATGCCTGGTCTGCCCCCACCCACCTCTCCTTCCTCTGCCTGTGGCCCATCTCAGCACCCCTCCAAAATCCTGGGCACAGCTTTCTCCACCAGCAGGGAGCCCAGCATCCACCTCAGTTGCTCTCCAGCACCAAGAAAAAGGGCCACATCGGAGAGGAAACACTCCTTCCCTCTATCACCTCTTCTCACTTCCTGAGGGCCCCTCATATTAAACTGAGCTCATGCATATTTAAGCAACTACTATGTGCTAGTTCCTGGGGCTAGGACTGTGATTGTAAATCCAGTTAGGCTCCCCAAATCCAAACTGAAATTCACTCTCTCCTCGCATGCGCCCACCCTGGGGATGACACCTCCCCCACCAGGCAGTCCTGAAAGCCAGGAGCCTGGGTAACAAGCAAGGATTCTGGAACCAGACTGTCTGGGTTTGAATGTGAACTATGCCACTTGGTTAGCTTTCCTAACCTGGGCAAACTACTTCCCCTTTGGTTCCGCTTCTGTGTCACAGGGATGTGGGCACCTCCCCACATGGTGGTGTGAGAATTAAATGAATACACGGAAAGTGATCAGACCAGTGCCGGGCGCACAGGAAGAGCTCTGCTACTGAAAGGGGGCAGCAATAGAATTTGGGGAACCAGCTAGTATTGTAAGAAATATTAATCATGCTCTGTTAACCATGATTGTTTTATTCTGGTTAAAGAAGGCACATTCTACCCTGGCTGGAGCTGACCTGGAGATGCAGCCCTTCCTCCCCATCTGGAGCTGCCTATTATCATGGGAAGATGAACAGTTACGCTGCAGAAACCACAATCGCCAGCCCTTTGAAGATCCCCAGCCCTTTTTGCACACCTGCAGGCCTTTGCAAACCTCCAGCCTGTACCTGTTAACTGCCCATCTGGCACTCCCTCTGGCTATTTCCCCATGTTACCTCGGCCCTTGC